AATGTTAATCTATGTAGGACATAGGTAGGTACCACTTATCACAGATTTATAGGTACTTTATACAGTATATTTCTGTGGTACTATTAACTACTTATTTAAAAAGTGGGTTACAATTCTATTAACATATATTTATATATTATTATATAGTATATATTAATTAATGCATGATAACGATTACTATAATATTGATGCTAATAAGTAATAATTATGGAAACCTGTGAGTAGGTGTTAACAAAATTAATAGATATATTCTATATATATCATACGCATTTGTCCTATCTAGGTAGGATATTATCTATACTAATATATAAAATGATAGCGTTTGTTTGTATGTTCGGGGTTAACTCCGAAATTACTTATTGGATCGAAAATACTAACTTAAAACAGTATCGATTAGATTACTTATTATTGTTCTATTTTTAGAAATCGGTTTATCAACATTTGTTCATATCATTAATAATTAATGTAGGTTGTGCCTACAATGCACAGATATCTATAAACCTAGTTAGTATAATAGATATCTGTGATACAATGGTGTGAAATTGTATCGTTATTTGTGATACCTACTATATATCAATAATTATTTTTATTTATATTTGTCAATCGTTTCTATTAACCATTAGGTACTAATCATGCCACGAAAATTTGAGTGGTCCATTGAAAAGAAAATGAAAAAAAACTATGATTTGTTGTGTAAAATATAAAATGAAAAAATGCAAGATAAAACTTCGTTTCCCCTCTTCACAGGATAGGTTGGTTAGAAATGTAGAATTAAGAATTCAATAATTGTTAAATTGTCATGTAAATATAACAAGTCCAGTCGATGAAAGAAAAGTGACTTTTACACCAAAAAGTCAGACAAAACTGGAGGAATTTGGTTTAACAGGGTTTAATTTTGTAAAAGGATTATGATTGATTAACAAGTTTACTAGGTTTCCGTAGAGGTGATTGTTAATATTCCAATTACTGTTATTGTCATAATCAAGTAAATATTAAGGATTAACACCATACACTATACACCAGACACACTGGACACTATACACTTAGTGGGCCCCCTTTCAAATTCAACTTCAAAAAATTGTATTACTACATTTTTACGACTGTATAAAATAGTATAGTTCTGTACTATATTACGTTATGACCTACCACGTACAATCTTCAATCATAGATAATAAAGACTATCATCTATGAGTATTGCGTACGGTGTAGTTCATAACTCCCATCTCATACACTTCATCATAGAAAATCAATTTTATATTTCTTATAATTTACCTAGTAATTTTTCATGATATAAAATATTTTGGGGATAAAAATGGACCCCGGGACCGTGCCCCTCCTGGACCCTTCATTTTAATACAATTTTTTGAAATGTATTTTCAATACAAATTTAAAAAAGAATTGTTTCCTAAAAATAATATATTTAAAATAATGATGCCTTTGTTTGTATATATTTTTCATTATTTATAGTATGAGGCCCAAACAAATATTTCACAATAATATAAAGAAATTAGTATTACTAAAAGTTATGAGGTAAGTACTAAGTAAATGAGCGTGTAAATTATTACAGTTTAAAATGCTTATAAATTATATAAAAATTAAAATATCGTGAAAAGCCAACGCAGGGACACAAGCAATGTTCTGAGAATCCCTAACTAAATTCCCCGACCCTAGGAAAAAACCCCCAGCCTACTATGTTACTGACAACTTGGTACTAGGTACATGAAATTGATTGATCAATTATTTTTTAAAAGCTAATTAGTGTAATTATCACATCATTAATATTTATTTATTATTTACAATTATATTATACTTACTAGTAGCATACCTACTTTTCATTAAAAAAATTTAAATGTAATAAATAATTTTAAAAAATTAACAATAATATTATTTTGTTGTATATCACGATTTTAATAATAAGTCAAAAACAGAAATCTACCAATAACTCTTAATTTTTTTTAAATTAATTAATTCTTAATTTACTTTTATGTTTAAATGTTATGTATATAAAATAGTTATTAATAAAGAGTAAATTGCATTATCTATATTATACAATCTTTCATTTGTTATAATATTATTTTTCAAATATTGTTTTAATTTTAACAATTTTAACTATTGTCAGTACTTATAATATGTTGTATAACGTATACCTAGAGATGACTGTGAATATTAAATTAAATTAACATATATGTACCTACTTAGAGTTACTTAAATATAATTTACAATTTACATGTTAAATAAAACATATTCATCAATTATAAATAGTTAATAGTTCTGACTTGTATTAAAAATACAAGATAATATATAATTTAATAACTTATAGGTAACTACTTTCAAAAAAAGGAAAAGTAAATAAATGTAGGAAAACGTTTATATAGGTACACTCATAAGTCATAATTTATACTGAAGTGAAAATACATATTTTTTAACAGCACATTATTATGCAAATTTATTACCAAGATAAATGTATTTTTATTTTAAATTTTACATCACTAAGTTTATCTATGGTGTAGGTATTGTGTATTTGTGTATGCGTTGCTTATCTACACTACTAGTCATATTAGTGGTAACCTATCAATAATAAGTAGGTACCTAATAACTAATATGATATAGTGATATGATATGATATCTTAGGCTAGTAAATGCAAATTTTAAGTTTTATACTACTTGTATAATAATATTCTGATGAATTTACAATTGATATTAATATGTATGTGTGTATGTAAGTTTTTGAAACTGGTTAACTAAACTAACTTCCTTGAACTTAAGCTGAACACATTGTCTTCAATATACAAAATTTAGCCTTTCAAAACGATTATAAAATTATTAATCATTTAATATTATGTGTAGCTAATAATTTTATAAATTGCTTATAACTGTACAGATATTGGAAAAATGGATGGTATTAAATACTAAGGCTTGCACATTGTTAGTAAATTTCAATGGAAAATATATAGGTAACTAGTAATAATTATGTTAGATATTTCAATTATAAAATAACACTTTTATATTTTCTAAGTTATACCACTTAGGTATATTAAAAATATAGCAAACTTTAATACACCTACATTTCTTAAAATTACATGCTTTAAATTAAATTTGCCAATCTCTAGACCTCTAGAGTTCATTATTAATAAAAATAGGTAACATTGTTTTTTAATTTTTAAATCATATTTTAAAAACAATGTAATAGGCAGGTATGCTAGTTTATTAATTTATACAATTTCTCTGATAAATAATAATTATTATATTTTTGAACAAAAATGGCAGAATAATTGTTTACTAATTACAATAAACTAATAATAACAAACTTATTAAATAACATAGGTAGTTGAATAATAATACATTTTATAAATAAAATCATTCAATAACAATGAACTTAATAAATTATATTATTTAATAAAAGTTATCAAATAGGTATATTTTTTTAAATATCAAATAGTTACAAAATACTGAATACTTTGGATGATTTAATATTTTATCTTTTACAAATCTTATACATGATTCACTACCTATAAGTTTTTGTGGGCTTATTTAAGGTGATTAAATCATTTTTAGAAAATAATACCGATTCTAAAGCCCTAAATTTATAATTATGTAAATATTTAATATAGTTTGTTCACTTTATTGTAACATCTGATTCCACCGATTTTTCAAAGTTATTTTTAAACTTTTCTGCCTTTGCAGCCAGCACACAAAAGCCGAAACCCAAATAAAGGATTCTGGTGCAATTAAGGCTTAATTAGTAAACAAAAAAAGCAATATGTATTACATAGTCAGAGACTGAAGGCCAAATTTCCATTTTTGTAATAAAACAAAATAATGTAAAACTGCAAAATTAGTATCTATCAAAATATTAAAACGCTTAAGTAGGGGTTTCCCCTTAAGAAATGGTTTAATTTAATATACATATAGAAGTCTTTAGAAGGTAATAAAAATAAGATAAAAATTGATTTATCAAAATTCGACGGTATTTAGGTTACTAAATATTTTTAAATTTCTTATTTTATTTTATCATTGGGATATTTAGGGTAACCACTTAAAGTACCTATTGTTTTAGTATAAAATAAAATATTATTTATAATTTAAGTTGGGGGACTGAAAAAATAAGATCCGAACCGAAACTAAGGGCGCCCGCAGAAATTTTCAACTGGGAAGGGCTAGCACTAGGCGTATATTATAAATATACTTATGTATAATATATACATATACACACATAACATCCAAACATAGTAAAAAAAAACGGGGTGGCATGGTCCCCCACTACCCCTGCGGCGACTTTGACCGACACTAAGTCTGGGCTACTAATTATTCAATTATTCACATTGAGCCACACAGGAGCCATACACTCCTGGAGTAGCCAGGATTTTGAAATGGTGGGGGGAGTTAGTATAAATTAAACCTAGTTAATAGTTTTTACAGTTTTCGTATATTAGTAATACATTTATTAGGGGAAAAATATCTAGGGGGGGGGGGGGGTAAACACCCACTTTAGCCACTTACAGTGTTTGGCTAAAATATTTTTCGGATAAAATACGGTTCTGATGGTATATTTTCGACAAAAATATTTTTCGGATAAAATATGGTTAGGAAGAAATATTTTTCGGATAAAATACGGTTCGAATAAAATATTTTCTGCTTCATTATTTTCGATGACAATATTTTTCGGATAAGATAATATGCTTCTGGCATTATATTTTTCGTATCAAATATAGTTCTGACAAAATAATTTTCTCAGTGTATATTTTTCGGCCAAAATACTGTTGGGACATTTTACGCGCTCCCATTTTTTTTTCATTACCCGACTAACAGCAAGAGTGGTCAACGTCAAGATTTGCTGTTATCACCGTAAATTGTATTTGATAATGTCCATTATCCATCACCCGTTAAAAAGTGTGTACGTATTTATTTCTGCGATGTTCTTCTTAAACTGAGTGATTTAGTACATAGTGTTTTACTTGTAGAATATTGAAAAATCGTTTGTCAGACATAATCAACTACCCATGCATTCTTTACTGTCCCGGGGCAACTCGATGCTGGCCTACACGCTGATTGTACTCGTTACTCTCGTGTTCGCATGTTTTCTTTCCACCATATCGGTTGATTACCGGACTGGTACTGAGATTCAGGCGCTCAAAATCGAAGTGTAAGTATATTGGCGAATGACCCGACCTCCTTGCTTCGTCACCTTTTTGTACGATGGTAGCGTTAACAAATGGTATTTGTTTTCAGGAAAAACTTACCAACGTATGGTGTATCCAAAAAGATCAATGACTTGGGTCACATAAAATTCAACCTCAATACAGATATCCTTTTCAAATTTGTATAATATTAAAGTATTTGTTTAGTAAGTGACTTACCAGCTATTGGACGGTATTGATTATTCATATAATATTTTTAGTCAAAGAAAAAAATCATAAAATTATATAATTTTATTTTTATTAATTGATTAGTGATACAAATATAAAACAATACAGTATTAAATTTTTAAAAGGTAATGTAAAAATCAATTAAACAAAATATCAGTAAAATATGAATATTATAATACACATAACTATTAAAGCAACATGAACAAATTATTCAAAAAAATGTTTAGAAATACAGTTTATAGGTATATCACTTAAAAAATGTATCTTGCCTGTTAATAAATCGGTATCCCTGTACATTGTCTGTACTTATTATAGATAATCGTCTTGGTAAGTCACATACTAAACGAATACCAATATTAATATATTCATAAAATGTTGCTGTAAAAGTATATTGAATAACGCTTAATACTCTTTAAAAATGTTTGATCCACACGCTTTTTATATTTAAGTTCCATGAATAATATATAGAAATATCTTGATACCACTAATATTATTTTAAAATCGACATAATGAAAATAGTTCACCATACATTTAGATATTATTTATATCTAACAATTAATTCAAATATAGTATCAATTTCCCCATGTTGCACTCATGTTGACCAAAAATGTCAATATTTTGCATTTTCTGATTTTTGTTTATGAAGAATGTTGTGTGGATACTTTTCTTAAAAACAATAAAACTCAAGCATTTCAAGAAAGTTTTTCAAATAAATTTTTTCTGTATTACTGAAAAATGGTGTTAATCCCAGACAAGATACTAAGAGTCAACTCTTTTTTAAATAACAAACAGTTTTTTTTTTATTACTGGAAGTTATTAATTACATAACAAACATATATTACATAACCAATTTAATATAAATATATAATTACTATACTTATTACTGTAATAAGGCTGTATAGGCTATATGCTATAACTATATTTTGAAAATTCAATCATTGTAAAGTATTATTGACTTAACCATATCTGTGCACATCTCACTAGCCTATTCAATTGGAATGTTAAACAATTGTTTGTCTACATGACAGCTGAATATGAGACACCTACAAACGCCTTGAATCAAGTAAACTATACACTTATTGTTATTTTAATAATAATATAGTCATATAACAGTGGATTCCACTTAATGTGGACACATTGAGGCCAAATTCATTTGCTCACATTAAGGGTTCGGCTATATAAACCGAAATTAGTTAGTATACATTGGAAATGTAACTAGATCATTTTGCCAATTTTGCCCACATTAGATGGAACCACTGTATTTTATTTAATTACTTGCGTAATACGTATTTTTTGTTATGCTCTATTATTTTATTTAGGTAGTTTTGTGGGACAAGATTATTTTGAGAGGAGAGAAATCCTACTTGCGCCTTAAAAATATGAGAACAAAATATTACTTTTGGGATGATGGTAATGGTTTAAGGTAATTATTAATAATAATATTTAATATTTAATTATTTTAAATTTTCAGCTAAAAAAATTGTTGAAAACAGTTGACTTTTATCTGGTGCCATATTTGTATAACAGTCGGTTAAAATCTTTTTAGGTATATGTGCTCATTTATATTATTTACGCCACTGCAACAAAAAATATCAAACATCTACAAAAATTAATCGATATATTCTCTAATATTCTTTATTATACGAAATATTCTTTTATCTTGAAATATTCCCAAATATGCAAAAAAAACTTTTGCTATTAACTCACCTGGTTCATGATTTGTAAAGATTTCGAACCCCCGTCTGACTGCATAGACTCAAAAAAAATATGCAAAAGAATATAATTCCGGCCCCTGGTTATGTATAATCATATAAGTATATAGTGTAATATGCACTTATCAAAATTTTTTATAAATTTGATTTTCAATAATGACTTGGACAGTATAGATTACCTGTATTAATTTTAAAAAGTTCATTCTCAGTTGATACAAATTAAAATCACAGAATAGTATGTCATTGTATAAATAATACTTAAAAATTGCTATAATGCTTACTATACTGAAAATAAATAAAATTCTCCATTCTTCCTATACTTATATTAAGTCATTGCTTAAATTAATAATTTTTATTGTTAATTTTTTTCTTGTTTCTATTATTTCTACTAGAAAATTGTATTCAGATTTTATCTCTTCCTTAATATTTTACAAGAAAAAAAAACTAAAATTATAATAAAACTAGATAATTTAGTTATTATGTTTTACAGAGGAAATAAAAACGTGACTTTAACCCTGTCCTACAACATCATACCAAATGTGGGTCAACTGTCAATTGTGGGTGCCGTTGGATCTCATACATTTAGTTTTCCTTCACAATATACACGATGATCACAAAACATTGTTCCTGATTTGAATATATGAATATAATATTATGTTATACATTAACGTATGTTTTTTCTTCAAAATTATTTTATGATTATCTAAATTTAAGTAAAAATGATTGTGTTCATGATTTGTTTGTATTTTCTAAATTAATATAATGACTGAATTAATAATGGCATTTTAATTAAATATTTTAAGAGTACTTTGATATAGCTATCAATGGTAATATTTTAAGTTTACGTAGATGCTAAAATCGTGTCTGGTTCTTTTTCTGCTGACAGATCACTGAATATTTTCAATAGTTTTCTAAGTGTCTGTAAAAAAAATGTATACATGTATATACATTATATATCCAACAATTAAACCAAAAAAAATTTTTAAAATTATATGAAATTGTGTTAAATGTCAATTTCCTAAATATTTTTCATAATTAATATTAATTACAAGACAATGCATATATTTTCAAGTATTTAACTTTATGCTGTACACATATTTATCTGAATGATTGAGGTTAGGTATTTGTACTAGAAAATATATTTGAGATTATTTTATTATCTATTTAACAATATTTAGGCACCATTAGTAATATTATAAAATGATTTCGATATTCGACTAACTTGTAGCAGGTGCCAGACAGCTGATGCAGTACCAGCTAGGCATGTCGTTTGTTGGCAAACAAGAAATACGTCGACGATGGCCTCGGAGCAAGACGTGTCCGACCTTTTAAATCATTTTCATCTAGATATGTCCTATATTATTATTTTATATGCATTATTAATGTAGTCATAGAATTTTGATTAAAAATAACTCGACGACTTCACCGTGTCGACGTCTATGGCGGTTCAATAATAAATATTTCATCACACGATACCACATTAACCAAACGATACTGCATAGTTGAATATATTCAACTTTTGGATGTCTGGTTAGTACAGATAATTGTAGAAAAATGATGAATGGACGAAATTATATTAAGCACGCATGTATATGTGTATAGCACAAATAGTATAAAAAAAATTACTTAATATTATTAGGAAATTAATTTGATATTTAAGGATATAATTTACTATGAATTGTAACTACATTATTTTAAATTAAAATTATTTCTATTCACTTAGAATATATTGTAGATTCATAGCATAACTTCAAATATTAATTTAGGTACATACTCTATAAAATTATTCTTGTATATTGTGGGTTTTAAAATGTTTTCTGAAATTATTAATTATTATAAAAAATTAATTTAAAAATTGCTCATAATACACAATAGTTTTATAATCTGTGTTTAATTTCCAATAATTGAAGGCACTGCAATGTACCTACGATTATATGAGTACTATTTATTAGTGAATTTAAAGTAAAACGGTATAATACCTATAGTATGATGGACATTTCAAATTTAATAATATATAATTTATAGTAAAATTAATAGGCAATACTTTAGTAATGTTTTTATGAATAATATTAAGAAATGAATTTTATTTTAACATTATGATAATGATTGTCAGATGAATGGATATTTAAAACATTACTTATACCGTTTAGTAAAGATTTTGTTAACAATTCTAGTTCAGCTCCCAATAATCAATTTTGAAAAAATTTAAAAACGCATGGTACCTAGCTAAACTAGATTTATGCCGGATTTTCATATAATATTACCTATCATTTTAAACCGGTAAAGGAGTTTATACGATCATAATAATATCGTATTATGTATTAAATAATTTTACTTTAAATAACAATAATATTAATATATTATTATTATTGAAAAATAATGTAGATACTATTATTTTATTATGAATTGAGTATTATTAAATGTTAAACAACGATCATATTATTGTGTATGTTTTTAAATTATTTTACTTTAAATGTAGGCACTAATAAATAATACTTCTATATCTAGTAATAGTCCTAGGAATATAATATTATAATATTATGTAATATTATGTAAATAATTGCTGAAAAGTTGCCAATATAGGAAATTTTATACACCTACGGATCTGATAAATTACTAAACATAATAATATTATGAAATGTTATCACCAGGTGCAATGTTCTTATTATAAGTATTGCATTATGGTAAACAGATGAAAACACAATTCCGTACGAAATTGGCAATGGGCAGTAGACGTGAACTTCAATAATTGAACTTCTTACTTTTAAATATTAATATGTATGCTTATGTATTAAAAACCGGTTCATTATATTACAAAATGATTTCGATATTCTACTAACTTGTAGCAGGCGCCAGGCAGCTGATTCACCTAACCTGCCAGGCTTGTCGCTTGTCGGCAAACGAGAAGCACGACGTCGACGATGACGAAGAGCTCGTGCCTTGGAGCAAGACGTGTCCAACCGTGTACGCCATTTTCATCTAGGTATGTCCTATATTATTATCTTATATGCATTATTAATTTAGTCATAGAATTTTGATTAAAAATTAACTCGACTTCACCGAGTCAACGTCTATGACGGTTCACTATAGTGCTGGTATTGGGATACCTTCAGTATATTTGATACCTTATGTCACAGACCTCTTAAAGTTAATACAATTTTATTTTTATTTAAATGCCAACATAGAAGTCATGTTCCACAAAGCACAGTTTATAAACCAACACTTTTTCAAGTACCTTAAGAGGACATGATACCCGTTTTAATATTAGGTACATTAAATTAATAGATTTTGGTTTTAATGTGTATATAATTTATAATTTATAAATTATAATTAACTTCAACCAAATATCCTTTTGTGTTTTGTTACTAATATATTTACCTTATCAACAAAATTATCTAGGTAGTTATTATATTTTCATTGGCACCCTATTGTATCTAAATAAATATGTTTCTAATGAATGTGACTTGATAATTGATATTATTATTTAATATTTAATCTAGTATTTAATTATTTATTATTTATTGCCCCTTGCTCATTATCCCCGCATAAACCTTTTATTTGCAAACTGAGAGTGTATAATTATATTATTAAAAATCTAAATAAAAAATGACATTATAAGATATAATACACGTTACTGTAATGCCTCATAGTGTATTAAATAATTTCAATTAATAATTTATTTTTTTTACAATACTCATAACAATTATGTGTTTATGATTTAGTTGCCATGAGCGTCATTGTCATATTTTACGAAAATATTTGTTTATAGAACTTTTTTCCTAATAGAGAGATAACCTTTTTTTTCTCAACACATTCAATGCCGTATTTTGGTATCTTGTCTATGTGGCTGTTCGAATGCTGTCCATTCCAATAAAGGAAATAATCTGTTAGTAATTCAAAGGGTTAGTATATTAACAAAAAAATTACATATTATATAAAATGAAATCTTGTAAAAAAATATATAAAATTGTAAAATACAATTTAGTATAACTGCTTTACGCCATGTAACTCCTACTAATCTCAATTATTATGCAATGTGCATGAATAAAATAATAATAAAAAAAAAAACATGTAAAAGTAATATGTAACCCAAGTAATTAAAACTCTTATTCTGTTTTTTTCCTATATAATTTATTGACTCGTGCGCTACACATATAATATAACATTTTTATTTTTATTTATCAATACTGAAGTCAATAAGTTAATTTTTTAAAATATTTTTAAGTAAAACTTATAAATTTGAAAAGTTATAACTTTTAAATAAAATATTTAGATTTTAATAAGTACATATTTAAAAATTCTGGTAAATTGTTCAAAGAAAAACCTAATTTAATTATTGATTTAATATTTTCATTTCAAGGGAATCTACAGTCAGTACATTTTTGCATAATAAATATGTTTGATAATTACAGAAAAATATACTTAACAGCGAGTCTTAAGACTAGAGAGGTTTCCCAGTAGTGACACCCTACAAGGTGATGGTGTTCGATAAAGTTCATAGTAACAATAAATAGAATATTTTTATAATCTATGGTAATGTTGAAACCTATATACAAAACCCTACTTCGAAATATTGAGGCCTGGGTCTAATTTATTGGTAGAGCTCCTTAATTTCAATTATAAATACATTTTTTTTTCGCTATTTTGCTTTTTAAATTCAATTAATTTATTAATAGTATACACACAATATAAAAATATAATACCAATTTTGAGGGCCCAATTGAAATGAAATACTTATTAAAAATAAACTATACTCAAGTTAAAAAATGTTATATAACTGTTAATTCATATGTAAAATTGTATTTCTGATTAAAATTAGGTATTTGAAATGTGAGAATCGTTGTTATGGTTGTCCAGTATCAGAAAAAATGACAACAATTGATGGAGGATTGCCAGTACTTATTTCTCCAACATAATAAGTTCATAGTTATGAACCACCTGTACCTAACCATTCAGTGGCATTGTGAGGTTTCATGAATAGACTGTTGGAAAGAGATAATCTGAAGAATATTGTTCGACAGAACATAGTTGAGTAAGAGGCAAAAAATCTGTTAACAAAAAATATAAGACTGAATTAATACGTTTAAAAATATAATATATTAAATGCATTCATTCCACCTGTTCCAGAAACATTAAGTAATTGATTAGATATATTCAATTCTAATGAATGGGGCTTAAGACTTCCTTTACCAAGGTCTGTTAGAGTTATTAAGGGATGATGGAAGTGTACGATTTGTTGGTATTGTCTTTACCAACAACGCATTCATTCGAGAAAATAATGTGCAATTCCAATCATACATACTACAATTTTTAAAGAACAAACTGAAATTAAATGTTAACTATAGATAAAAATGTACAGGTCATAACTGATTTTGAGCAAGGTCTGAGGAACACTATATCTAGGTGCGTCACCGGATACCAAAAATACTGATGCTGGCTTTACTAATCAGGTCCTGCGAAAAATAGAGGTTATTCAAAAAGACAGATAATATATTATATATTTATTTAATGAAATTTTATTGCAATATAAAATATATTTATAAACAGTTTTTATTTCAGAGCATTATTCATTATGTCATTGAAGCCATTGTCTGGTGAGGTTATGCACGGTTAACAAAAACACAAGAATCCTACGGAACATAATCCTTTAAATCCTAAATAAAGTTATATGAGAATTAATTGGAAATTTAAAGTACAAAATCAATCACCCAGCAGCGAAAAATATCTTTAGTAAGAATATACCTGAATGAATTAAAATATAAGTTTGCATGTGTGCTTACAATAATACAATTTCTTGGCTTATACCTTGAATGCCTACAATTAAATAAGTAATATCATTTGTATGTTATGTTATATATGCATGTAAATATCTCAAAATCTTATTGTTATTAGAAACTCAACTGGTTTTGATTAAATTTAACTAATCAAAATTATTAATATATCATACAATAATATTATCTATATTTACACTTTTGCATGAGTGTAACATAAAATTCATATTATAGTTTATAATATTGTACATAATGTTAAATGTAATAGGTATTATAGATGATGTCTTTGGCGATATACCTGTGACGAAGAACTCTACCTAGGAATTTTGTTTTTTATCTATTTGGAATTGAGGATGATTATACAACACCTAGGTACATTTTTAATAATTAACCGAGAATGAGATGATTCATTAGAATTTGTATAATTGTGTATTTTTTTTTTAATTTCAGTTGCTGACTTTAACTTGGGAGCTCAGCTAGAAGATTTAATGAGGTTCTATGAACGGTACTGGACGGATACTATGAATCCACAGACATTCACCATGTTCAGGCTATAGTACACGACAAACAACATTGAATCATCCCACACATCTCTTTTACGATTAATAAGCCAATACCTAACACTGTATGGATTCTATGGTAATCTTTTTTATAAAAGTTAAGTGCAATTGTTATGAATTTGAAAGATAATAGGAAGCTGATTATATCATAAAATAATATGTATACATTTCTTAGTTCACTTGTTAACAGTGGAGGAGAGAGGTCGAAATGATTTTAGTTGAGCAGTCAACTGGCAGAGGGTTTTTACAACTGAAATCACATTAATTACTTTATTAACAATATTATTGTTATTTAAATGTTTTTTAATTACTAACATGTCTAAACAACATACTTATCCCTGTTTTAATTCATTAGGACAGGGAAGCAGATTACAAGGTGTACCCATGTAATGATGTGACAATTAGTAACGAGTGAATAAATGTTGAAAATAGTAACTACAACTGTGGTGACTTGAAATAGATTTTATAATACATAGTCAGCATTAAATACGGCATAGCAACATTAATGTGTAAATATTATACTATAATTATATTTAAAAAAAAAGTTGCTCTTCTGTACAGTAGGTTACAATTGAATCCCTGTATAATGGATGGTATTAAATTTGAATTCAATGATATAATATAATTGTATAAGAAAAATGATTCTGAGCGGAGACGGTCAGTCAGCCTATGATATTAATAAGTATATTTGATGATATTATTGTGAATAAAGTAATTTATATATTTACCTATTTACGAGGATGTTTGTTTTAAATTTTCAATCCTTAGCAATAAAAGTTGAACATTTTATAAATTTTCAACTACAAAATAATTATTAAATTTTAAATATGATAAATTTTGTCAAAATTCAAACTTTAAATGCTTATAAAAAAAATTCTTTCGATGTATTTTTAATATTTTTCAATTGCTATTGTGACAATATATCAGGAGCCTTACATTAAATTTTCAAGCTTTTTTGCCCAACAAATACAATTTTATTGATATTTATAGAAATAAAAACTAAAAAAATTTAAACTGTCAATGTCCATAAACAGCTCAAAAAGTGTCAAAATATTTTCAAATTTGTATGGCGTATAGAAAATGAAAATATAAATATTCAGTAAAATGTTCATGTATCTACAGTTATTTGTTTTCGAATAACAATAAAATTATCAACAAAATTATCTAGGTAGTTATTATATTTTCATTGGCACCCTATTGTATCTAAATAAATATGTTTCTAATGAATGTGACTTGATAATTGATATTATTATTTAATATTTAATCTAGTATTTAATTATTTATTATTTATTGCCCCTTGCTCATTATCCCCGCATAAACCTTTTATTTGCAAACTGAGAGTGTTTAATTATATTATTAAAAATCTAAATAAAAAATGACATTATAAGATATAATACACGTTACTGTAATGCCTCATAGTGTATTAAATAATTTCAATTAATAATTTATTTTTTTTACAATACTCATAACAATTATGTGTTTATGATTTAGTTGCCATGAGCGTCATTGTCATATTTTACGAAAATATTTGTTTATAGAACTTTTTTCCTAATAGAGAGATAACCTTTTTTTTCTCAACACATTCAATGCCGTATTTTGGTATCTTGTCTATGTTGCTGTTCGAATGCTGTCCATTCCAATAAAGGAAATAA